CGCGGGAATTCGGCATTTCCATCGCAGCCTGTCGTGTAGAATCGCAGAGGCGGCGGTTTTGAATCGCACGCTCGTACTCGACATGGGGTTGTGCATCAATGGACTGCACAACGAGGGGAAATTCCAAGTTAACCCCATTCATGTTTACTACGACCTCGCATCTCTCAAGTAAGCCGCGAATTATTGTGGTGTTACAATCCCCTCTGCTAATGCGCGCGCTAGCGAAACCGCTTGTAACATTTTTCGAACGTTCCGAGCTATCTCGTATCCTATAACGCCCTATAAGATCCCCCATCCCGCTCTCGCACCCCATTTTCCCATCCCCCTCCCTCATCCCCCCAAACCGTCCCCCTCCCCCGTTTCCCCCCCAGCGCCGTCCGCTTCACCCCCCTGCAGGGCTTTCTAGAGGAGGCGGAGAAATGGCATGCGGGGCTGGGAGGGCGGAATGTGGGAGGAGATGGGGGGGAGGCGGAAGGAGCAGGCAGCGGAGCGGAAGGAGAAGGGGGAGGGGCAGGCGGGAAAGCAGCGGAGGAAGGTTCGTTGCGGTTTCCTGTGCGGGTGGTGACGGGGCGCGTGAGGACAAGGCGGCTAGTGGGCGACGACGACACGGCGCTAATCGTGCGGGCAGTGAATTACGGATTTGCTGCGTGCGAGTTCAGCCCGTTCCACTCGAAGCCGCGCCACGAGGTGCGTGTGTGGGGATTGGCGTGGGGGGAACTGGAGTTAATTACGGCTTTGCTGCGTGCGAATTCAGTCCGTTCCAATCGAAGCCGCGCCACGAGGTGCGCGTTGTTTGTGATTCATAATTCGCGGTTTCGTGCGATGGAAGTGAGGAGCGAGGTGATGTAATGGAGTGTACAGTATGAAATGTATCGTAGAAATCTATTTTCTGGAGTGTATGTAATCCAATTGCGTATATGGACTAGTCATCTGCAAAACAGACACATCAGCATCCAGCCACAACCAGAACTGTTATCCAAACCTGCTAGCAGGTTTTCCTTTTTGACCCCCCTTTAGTCCCCCCTTTTTCCCCTTTTCACCCTCTTCCCCCTCCTCCCATCTCCAATTCCCCCTTCCCCTGAAAGACTACCCCATTCACAGCAACCACAGCGCCAGTCAGCATCAGCTTGAGCTGCCAGTGCTGGCATTCCAGGTGCCCCACTCCCTCTTCCTCCCCTTTTTGTCCCACTCCCTCTTTGTCCCCTCCACCCTCTCCCCTCCTTTACCCCCTCTCCCCCAACAGAAGGACCACCCCATTGCCAGCAACCACAGCACCATTCGGCATCGGCCCTTGCTGCTGGCGCTGCCGTTCCGCTTGCCCTCCTCAATTCCCCTTTCCCCTTTACACTCTTCTCCCAATTCTTCCCGATCCAACAGAAGGACTATCCCATTCAAAGCAACCACAGCGCTATACAGCATCGTTCAGAGCTGCCACTCCAGTTGACCCCCCCTTTTTCGCTTTTCACCCTTTCCAATTCCTACAGAAGGACCTACCCCATTGCCAGCAACCACAGCACCAGTCAGCACCGGCCAGAGCTGCTGGCACTGCCATTCCAGTTGACTCCTTCTCATTCCCCATTCCCCCATTTCCCCTCTTCACCCCCTTCCCCATTCCTACAGAAGGACCACCCCATTCAGAGCAACCACAGTGCCATCCAGCATCGGCCAGAGCTTCTGGCGCTAGCAGCGGAGATGGGGGGGGCGATGGGTGGGGGGGACTATGACGCGGTGCATGTGAGGCGAGGGGACAAGCTCAACCCCAACATGTGGCCTCACCTGGACAGAGACACACGACCCCCCGCGTGAGTGTTCCCTTGGGTAGTCAGCCAATACTTGTTATGAGGTGCCTCACATCCCTCAGATTCGAGCATGTGAGGCGAGGGGACAAACTCAACCCCAGCATGTGGCCGCTCCTCGACCGCGACACACGACCCCCTGCGTGAGTGCTCTACGCCGCTAATGCACCCAGTGCTCCCAGTACTCCCATTGCCCTCAATGCTCTCACTGCCACTGCCACTACTGCTCTCACTGCCACTGCCCCTACTGCTCTCACTGCCACTGCCCCTACTGCTCTCACTGCCACTGCCCCTACTGCTCTCACTGCCCCTGCCCCTACTGCTCTCACTGCCACTGCCCCTACTGCTCTCACTGCCACTGCCCCTACTGCTCTCACTGCCACTGCCCCTACTGCTCTCATTGCCCCTGCCCCTACTGCTCTCACTGCCACTGCCCCTACTGCTCTCACTGCCCCTGCCCCTACTGCTCTCACTGCCACTGCCCCTACTGCTCTCACTGCCACTGCCCCTACTGCTCTCATTGCCACTGCCCTACTGCTCTCACTGCCACTGCCCCTACTGCTCTCATTGCCCCTGCCCCTACTGCTCTCACTGCCACTGCCCCTACTGCTCTCACTGCCCCTGCCCCTACTGCTCTCACTGCCACTGCCCCTACTGCTCTCACTGCTACTGCCCCTACTGCTCTCACTGCCACTGCCCCTACTGCTCTCACTGCCACTGCCCCTACTGCTCTCACTGCCACTGCCCCTACTGCTCTCACTGCCACTGCCCCTACTGCTCTCACTGCCACTGCCCCTACTGCTCTCACTACCACTGCCCCTACTGCTCTCACTGCCACTGCCCCTACTGCTCTCACTGCCACTGCCCCGACTGCTCTCACTGCCACTGCCCCTACTGCTCTCACTGCCACTGCCCCTACTGCTCTCACTGCCACTGCCCTACTGCTCTCACTGCCACTGCCCCTACTGCTCTCACTGCCACTGCCCCTACTGCTCTCACTGCCACTGCCCCTACTGCTCTCACTGCCCCTGCCCCTACTGCTCTCACTGCCACTGCCCCTACTGCTCTCACTGCCCCTGCCCCTACTGCTCTCACTGCCACTGCCCCTACTGCTCTCACTGCCACTGCCCCTACTGCTCTCACTGCCACTGCCCCTACTGCTCTCACTGCCCCTGCCCCTACTGCTCTCACTGCCACTGCCCCTACTGCTCTCACTGCCACTGCCCCTACTGCTCTCACTGCCCCTGCCCCTACTGCTCTCACTGCTCTCTCTGCCCTCGCCTTTCTCTACTCCCCCACCTCTCCCTTTTCCCCCGTTCCCCTTTTTTCCTGCTCTCTGCAACCCTACTGCCTCTCTACTCCTGGCCCTTGAAGAAACTTCCCAAGTTCATTGCACCTGGACGCACTCTCCTTCTTGACACTCACTTCTCCCCACCCATTTCCCTCCTTTCCCCTCTTCCCCATTGTTCCTTTTCTGCGATCTCTCGCTCCTCCTCCAGGCTCTTGGAAAAGCTTCCCCAGTTCGTTGCACCTGGACGCACTCTGCTGCTTTGCACTCACTTCTTCCTCCGCACCCCCCCTCTCTCCCCCTATTCCTGCTCACTGTCCCCCCCCCCCCCCACCTTTACTCCAGGCTCTTGAAAAAGCTTCCCCAGTTCGTTGCACCTGGACGCACTCTCTATATCGCCACCAACGAGAGAACCCCAGGGTTCTTCGACCCTCTTCGTACCCTTTACAAACTGTACCGTTTAGAGGACTTTCAGCACCTCTGGCACCAAGGGACTCCATGGTTCGATGTATATGTGGAGATGCTGGGAGTTTCCAAGCCTGCTTTCGACCCATACATGCAGGTTATAGTTGACTACAGAGTGCTCAACTCGGCTCGGACTGTGGTTCGGACTTTTCCGAACCTAACGTCCGACCCTGAAGATGGGTACATACGACCCCCGAGACCGAGTGAGCCGACCTTGTTGGGTTGGTTCTCGGGGTTGTTCGGGTATAGAAATGAGGATGGCCGTTAGAACGAATACCAGCAGTGCTGTGTATCTCCATTCAATCTAAATGGCAATGCTATAGTAGGCAAGAGTGAGCATTTGCAACCGAGAATGGTTAAAGCTCGTGGCCCAAATTGCGGAGCGTGCTGGCCAAGCTTACTAAGGTTGACGGGGGTGATGTTATGAGTGCTGTTTGGGTTGCGAAGGGTGGTTACTGGAAGTGAGATGCAGTCTGACTGGCCATATATTTTTTGTCGAATGGGAGAGCAGGGAACAACAACAATATGTTGATTGCAATTTGGGACTCTCGAAGCAAACCCGGGTTGCTCCCAGGGGTTTGCCGCGTCAACGAAAACCCCAAGGGTCTAGCGCGAAACTGGGCGAAAGCAAACAGCCCAACTCCCAACAAGTCGACTTTCTTCTCCCGCCACCCAAAGGTCAACCTTACTAAGGTTGAACAATTTGGGCCGCGAGCTTTAAGTCAACCTACCATGCAAAGAAATTCAATCCCATGCCAGGTCTGAACTGTATCGAGTAGTTACTGACATCCTCAGTACAGGCTTGGCGTGTTTCCACGACAACCGAGGCTACTCCTTGTGCGATCCTCAAGCATCCTCGCTCCCAGAAGTTCCTGCCCTGGTTAGGATGAGCCATGATGTTATTTTGTTGCTATGCCTGATATGTTAAGGCAGGATGAATATTTTATTGCTATGCCTTCGCTGAGCCTTTGCTGTATAACCGACCAGCTCATTCAGTCACACCTGCTATGTTTCTGAACCCTGCTCAATCCATAACTCATTGACACACCTTGTTTCTTTGAGGCTGTAGGTGAGATTTATGCACTCTTATGTTGCAGTACATTTACCAAGTTTGTTACACTACATCTACACTACAGTAATCTGTGGCAACATCTAGAGCTATACAGCTGAGCTACGGCAAGTGAATCACAGCAAAATGCTTTTGAGATGTCTCAAAAGCAAGCGAGGCCCTTGCAACAAAACCTAGACTGCACAAAGTTGGATCCTTCGACCGTAATCACTAGAAATGCGCAACTAGCATGCGCTTTACTAAGCACCTAACAGTAACATCAGGGCCACCACCACTATAGGCTGGGCGGGCCCTGGCAGAGGGAGTAACACCGCCGCTATGCCGCTGACGGCCATGCGAATTGGTACTGGTACGAGCAGCGCACGGATGGCGTGATGGCCGTTCAAGGCCGGTTGACCACACCATGGTTGATCCCTCCCCCAGCGTAGCTGCTGGTGGGCTGAGAGAAGCCGCTGACAGAAGGAGTGGCGCCACTGACGGCCATGCGCAGGCGGCTGGAGCGCTTCACTGGGGTCAGCACCACCTGCTGCTCTGATCCCTGCGATGATGGGGAAGGGCAGGGGGAGAAAGGGGGAGGGAATAGTTCAAGAGAAGCCGTCGGCAGAGGGAGTGGCGCCACTGACGGCCATGCGCAGGCGGCTGGAGCGCTTCACTGGCGTGAGCACCACCTGCTGCTCTGATCCCTGGGTTGGTGGAAATAGGGGAGAAACGGGGGGGTGGAGAGTAGGAAAAGACGCTGAGAGAGGGGGTGGCGCCACTGACGGCCATGCGCAGGCGGCTGCAGCGCTTCACTGGCGTGAGCACCACCTGCTGCTCTGATCCCTGTGTTGGTGGGGAGGAGTGGGGGAAAATTAAGGTGCAAGGGGAGTGAGGGGGAGCGAGGGGGAGTGAGGAAGAGCAAAGAGAGGAGGAGGGGTGTAATGTTCAGGAACGAGCGCTACGAGAGCCTCACAGCCTCATAGCACGACTCACCTCTCGCACCACCACGGGCTGGAACGCGTTGGTCCGCCCGTACCTACCCTCCCGGCAGCCCCACCTTCAGACTGCCACATCTAAGCGAACCAATAGGACAACATGTCCGACTGAGAACTTGACAGCACGGCTCACCTCTCGCACCACCACGGGCTCGAATGCGTTGGTCCGTCCATACCCTCCTGGCGACCCTGTGCCTCCCTGCCTCCCTGCCTCACAGCCTCACAGCCTCACAGCCTCACAGCCTCACAGCCTCCCTGCCTCCCTGCCTCCCTGCCTCCCTGCCTCCCTGCCTCACAGCCTCACAGCACGACTCACCTCACACACCACGACCGGACTCACCTCGCGCACCACCACAGGCTTGAACGCGTTGTACCGCCCGTACCCTCCTGGCGACCCCGTGCCTCCCTGCGCACCCCCCTCCCCCTCCCCATCGCCCCCCACTGCCACCAGCACGTCCCCCACCGCCACCATCTGCGCCATCCCCACGGGGCTATGCCCCCCCGCGCCCCCCATGCCTCCGCCCATGCCTCCCCCCATGCTTCCGCCCACGCTTCCGCCCGTTCCCCCGGCCTGCCACCCCATTTTCATCTGATCCCACTGCTGCTGCTGCGCCTGCAGCACTTGCTCTCTCTGCTGCTGCTGCTGCCTTCCTCCTCCTCCTCCCCCTCTGATCCCCATCGGCCCATAATAGTTGCTCGTGCTCTCACAAACCGAGTCCATGCCTTGATTCCCGAGCCTCTGCCCCGAGATCGCCGAGCCTGCAGGCCTGGCAGCAGCAGCAGCGGCAGCCGCGGCATGACCGGAGCTGAATCCAGGTCCGGCAGTTCTGCCGAGCCTAGCTCCCTCGCTGAGCGTCCAGCCTGCGTCCACCCCTCCTGCCCCGCTCATTGCTGGTGCCTGCCATGCCTGGTGCTGCTGCTGGTGGTGGTACTGTTGCTGCTGTTGGGGATGCATAAAGCCGACGTTCCCACCACCACTTGCAGCAGCAGCAGCACCACCACCACTAACAGCACCACCGGCACTAGCAGCAGCACCAGCAGCGCCACTAGCAGGAGCGGCAGCACCCCAGGACTGGCCACTGAAGCTCTGCCTGCGCTCGCCTGCCGAAGCAGAGGGCGCCGGCCCTTGCAGCTGTGACCCACCGTGTGAACCAAGAGACATAGCCTGGGACCCAGCACGAGCGGAGAGGCCGTGAGAGGCAGCAGGGTGAGGAGCTGCTGCTGCTGCTGCTGTTGCTGCTGCTGAAGCTCTGGAGGAACGGAGGAGAGCAGTGGCGGTTACAGCGGCAGCAGCAGCGACAGCCACCACCACAGCAGCCGCAACCAGCATCTGCTGCTGCTGATCTGCCAAGCTTTGCTGCTCCGCCTCCTCTAGCGCCCATGCCATCTCCTCCGCTTCCGGTAGGGACGTACCCTCTGTCTCACCAGCCGTAGTAGTGGCGGCTGTAGCAGCGACTAATGTATCAGCGGTGGCTGTAGCCTCAGCTTCAAGGTTCTGCTCCGCCTGCTCCACCTCCCACACCGCCTCCTCTGCCCCTGGAAGCACCCTTCCCTCCCCCACATCAGTAGCAGCGGCAGCTGTACCTGCTGCAAGGTCGGCTGTAGCGCTGGGTTCCGCAGGCGCTACAGCCTCTTGCACAGCAGTGGCAGCAGCTGTGGCAGTGGCAGTGGCAGCAGCTGTGGCAGTGGCAGTGGCAGCGGCGTCGGCAGGGCAGACGGCTGCTGAAGCAGAAGAACAGTCACCCGCTGCTGGCTCTGCGATATCAGCCACACGTCCCTCAGGAGAAGCGTCAGCATCTTCGACGTCAGCGTCTTCCACGTCAGCATCTTCCACGTCAGCAGCATCACAAGCCGTCACTGCACCACTTCCACCAGCAGTCAAAGCAATCTCCTCGCCGCCTTCCTTCCCATCCACACCGGTCGAAACAACCACAGCAGCCGCAGCACCCTCGTGCTTCTCAACCCTCTCATCCCATGCTTGCTGCGTAACCAGCACAGCTTGCTTCTCCGTAACCATTCCTGCCTCTTCTCCCGTGGTAACCGCAACCACCACCGTCTCCTCCTCCTCCTCCTGCTGCTGCTGCACAACCAAATCTGAGCTCGTTCCCGTGGAATCCGGAGAGTCGAAGCCTCCCTCCTCCTTCTCCTCCTCCTCTGCGGAAGCCAAGTCTGAATCGCGGATCTGCGAAACACCATCGCAGATCTGAGGATGACCATGGCTAGCTGAAATGTCATTTGTATTCAAGTCTGCCTCCTCCTTTTCCCCGCCTGGCTTCCCACCAACCGATGCCGCCCAGCTCATCCCTTGGAACGCCCCCATTGGCTGAGGCTCGCTCGCTTCCCAGAGCACCGAGGTTCGGCCCGCAACTGCCTTCCAGCCGTTCCCAAGCGTGATTCCGAGCCTGGAGCCTGCTTCCCCTTCACCATTGCCGAACCAAGCTCCAGGCACGGCAGAGAGGTACGTCTTCCAGACCTGCTCGGCAGGTTCGAGGAAGGACAACGTGGGAGAGAGGGCGGAGAGGGGGCGGTGGGCGGAAAGGAAGAGGGCGGCGGAGAGCACAACCGCGCAAAGCGCGCGGAGGACTCCGCCCGCGCGGGACCAGCTGCTTCCGCGGGTGCTGCTGCCACTGCGTCCGCCGTTGTCGACGCTGCGTGCTTCGTGGCGACCATGGTGGCGACGCTGCTGGTGCTGCTGCTGCGGGTCGCGGTCATGGTGGTGGCGGCGCGAACGGTGCCTCACCGCATCACCTGCGTCAGCGTCAGCAACCTTCGCCACGTCAGCGCCTGCCCCTTCGAGCCGTGTTCCCCCCCCAGCCTGATTCTCATTCTCATTCTCTGTATCTTTGTCCGTGCTCCCTTCTTCCTCCGCTTCCCCCTTTGCCGGTTTTTGAGAATTCTCAAAAACGACCTCTCCTTCCTTCGCCGACTCGTTTTCCCCACTGCCCGGCTGTGCAGTCACTTGCGCCATGCTTCCTCCCCCTCCCTTCTCCGCGCCTTCCTTCCCCCGAGCTTTCCCCACTTCTGAATCCCCAGCCTTCTCTTCCCTCTCGTCATCCGCTTCCCCTTCCGCGTCCGCCTTCGCCGCAGCATACACAGCCACAGCCGCCGCCGCTGGAGCCGGCGCCGCCGGCGCCGCCGTCACCGCAGCTGCAGCAGCCGCCGCCACGTCCGCAGTCCACGCCGTCAGATCCGCCGCAGGCTTGCCGTAAGCCGCCGCCTTTCCGCCAGAGCCGGGCGCGACGTCGCGGCGCGCAGCCGACTCGGGGGACCGCGGCGCGCCGGCGAGTACTTCGAAGAGCGGATTAAGCGCGACGGAGTTAAGAGCGCCCTCGACTCGCGAGGAGTTAAGACTAAGGCTGCGCTTCGCCTTCGCCAGAGTCATCTGCGACGGCGACGGCCGCTCCACGCGACCGCTGTGGCGACGCGGCGGCTGCGCGTGCGACGGGTCGTGCGACTGCGACGATGGTTGCTGCGCGGACGGGCTGTCCACGACAAAATAGTTAAACTGACCCGGACTGCACGTCCCGCTGCCTACGCCGCCACCGCCGCCGCCGGTGCCGGCCCCACTGTTCGTGAAGAGGCTCCCCGGGCTCGCCGCACTCCCACCGGTGCCAGCGCTCGCTGCGGACCCGGCGATGGCGCCGGCAAGAGCGGCGGAAACGCCGCTGGAGATGCTGGATGAGGTGCTCTTCCCGAGGGAGCGTCTGCCGGCCGGCGAGGCGGCTCGGCGGGCCGGCAGAGAAGGCGTCGGGGTTGTAGCAGCCACAGGGACGGCAGAGACGGCAGGAGAGGATGTAGCGAAGGGGGAGAGGGAGTGAGGAGAGGAGATAGAGGAGAAGTGATTCGTAGGTTGCTCGTTCTCTTTGAACGAAGAGAGGGTTGGAACAGCGAGGGGACCGGGACGAGGAGAGGGAGTATGAGCGTGGGTCACGGCGGGAATTCCGGCGGTGGTTGCGGAGTTATTAGACGCGAAGGGAACAGACTGCTGAGGGCTGGAAAAGGCAGAGGATTTTGACGGCCCGTCTTTTAACGGTCCGTCTTTCAGCGGGCCAGGGCTTCGGCGAGCCTTCTTCCCCTTTTGAGAATTCTCAAGGCCAGTCATGGTGAAAAGTTACTTCCCTCAATATAGGGATTCCAAAGACGTTATGACTACGTTCTAGCGAGATGGCGAGGAGTCGTCACCAAGATGACGTGACGAGTTGGGATGCTCAGCTTTACTGTTTGAAGAAGCTAGTCGAAATCAACAGAAAGAGCTTCGAGCTGGGCGAACTACAATGAAGAAACAAGGCAATTAAGCCGCATTCGCATAAGAAGTAGAGACGACTGCGTGTCTGCCACTCGTAAGTCGTTACCTAGTAGAGCACGCTCCGAAGTGAAGGAGAGCAACAACGGAAATGGTTGCTTGTGTTGTCTGCGTGCAAGCAAGAGTAAGGGTATCAACAATTCTGTCAGAGGGGTGCTGGCAAAGCTTCTTCTAACTCCAGTCAACAAAGATTCTATGTTTTGTTTAAACGGTTTTTATGTGCTAATGAATGGTTGGGTAGTTTTTCAAAAGAAACTGAACTCTCCTCATGGACTGCTGATTGGTTGGAGTCTGCCTTGTTGCGATTGCGCGGGAAATATAGCTGGCTGGCTTGGCGATTCGGAAATTTTGAAATCTCGCGCCTATTACATGCGCTTTGGAAGTCCTTATGAACTGATAGAATTCTGTGGGTCTTGGTGTGGACACGTCAGACAACCAAATGAGTGTGTTATGCCGAAATCACTGCAGTCCAATCTGGGCCAGGATCTGCGAATAACCTAATCGGCGTACGAAATACATGGATGCTCACATAATGCTCCGATCTGTTTGCAAAAACACCAACTTACAACCAGGTTTCCATAATAATCAGAGTATGGGGGGAGCTCTACCAAAAACATGCAGGGGTTAGTGCCTGAACCAAAGCAATATGCCGGTCAACCAGCTTCTTGAGCTGTTTAGGTCTCCCCTACAACATGCCACAATGCAACACAGATGCTCATGCATCCTTAGGACTACTATACAGACTGCAATAAATTATGCTGAGAGTCTGGAAAGAAGATTAATCACATTGCATATTGCAGAAAAGCAGCTTGTTTGGAAATGCAAACAGCTGCAGCTATCAAAGGGCTCATGGCTTTTTGATCCCGAGCCAACCAAGGCCCTTCCGAGAGGAGCCCTGAGAAAGAAGGAAGAAAAAGGAAACGGGGGGAAATAAATCAAGGGATGGAAGATTATGATACCATCACGTAGGTGTAGCTATGAACTCCGAACGAGCTGATCAGGAGGGCAATAAGACTACATTAAAGCTTTGTTTCCCCCTTGGTTCTCCCCCTTTTCTAACAGTCCCATCCTCTGATTCAGCCAATTCCTGATGCTCCTCTCGACACCCTTCACATTCACACTCTTCTTTCCGCATCCCACCCCACCCTCACCTCCACATCTCACTTCCACACCCCTCTCTCACCCCACACTCCCCGCCCCCGCCCCCACACTTCCACTTCTCATGCACATTTGCCTTGAACTGCCGAATGCACAGCGCTGCCAAGTCCTTTCATTCAACCACCCCCGCATGCTCCTCTCACCACCCAAAACTCCACACTCTCCCCTTCAACACTCTACTCTCTCCTTCACACCCCCTCTCACCTTCTCATGCACGTTGGCCTTGAACTGCCGAATGCACAGCGCTGCCAAGTCCTCTCATTCAACCACCCCCTCATGCTCCTCTCCCCTTACCTCCACACTCCCCTCTCACCTTCTCATGCACGTTGGCCTTGAACTGCCGAATGCACAGCGCTGCCAAGTCCTCTCATTCAACCACCCCCTCATGCTCCTCTCCCCTTACCTCCACACTCCCCTCTCACCTTCTCATGCACGTTGGCCTTGAACTGCCGAATGCACAGCGCTGCTAAGTCCCTCGTTCTGAGAGGCTCAAAGGGAAGTTGATAACAGGGTAGGAGGATAGTGGGGAACAGGGGGAGAGGGAAGATGGGAAGGGGAGAGAGGTGAAGTGGGGAAGAGAGGACGGCACAATGGGCCAACATCAGAGGCACGGGGCATGAAAGAGAACGTGTACACACAAGGTTAAACTGGTAAAATCTTCCAGCCTCGTAGTAATCTTCAAAGTACAAACAAGAAGACCTGGCATCCCTGAAATCAAGGAAGAGCTCACCTGGCATCCCTGAAATCAAGGAAGAGCTGACCTGGCATCCCTGAAATCAAGGAAGGGCAGACCTGGCATCCCTGAAATCAAGGAAGAGTTGCCGGCCATCGGAGAGGATGAAGAAGAGAGACATGCGATGCATGACACTGATCTCCACCTGCGAGAGGGATTAAGAAGGGGGAGTGGGGTGGGGGAGGAGGAGCAGGGGACGGTCAGTGTGGATGTTGATGAGAGGAGACAGAGAGGATGAAGAAGAGCCTAGTTTTGAGTCGACTCAAAAGAGAGACATGCGATGCAGAGAGACATGCGAGAGACGTCACACACACTGATCCCCACATGCAGGAGAGGTGGGTTTGGGGTGGAAGGACGGGGCTGGGTTTGGGGGAAAACAAGTGGGGCCTCCTCACTCCCAGTGTCACCGTCCCTCACTCCCAGTGTCACCGTCCCTCACTCCCAGTGTCACCGTCCCTCACTCCCAGTGTCACCGTCCCTCACTCCCAGTGTCACCGTCCCTCACTCCCAGTGTCACCGTCCCTCACTCCCAGTGTCACCGTCCCTCACATACCGAAGCAGGCTAACCACACCCCAGTGCCCTTGCTCGCAGCGGTGAGATCCCCACAGGGCTCCTTGATGAACGCCTTGGTGGCCTTAGATTCTCCCCACTTGCAGCATCACTGCCTCAATCCCACAGAGTTACTGCTGCACGACTAAGACACTCACCGCTGTGAGATCCCTGATGCATGCGTTAGACACTCACCGCAGTGAAATTGCCCCAGGGCTCCTTAATAAACGCCTTCTTGGCCTTGCGCAGCACAAAGTCCGTTCGCCTCACTTGCAGAGTCACTGCTACCCCATCTACACAGAAGCAGGCTATAAACGCCACCCCAGTGCTACTACAGTGCAACATTTGCTCACCGCAGTGAGGTTGCCCCAGGGCTCCTTGATAAAGGCCTTCTTGGCCTTGCGCAGCACAAAGTCTGGCCTCCTCACTTGCAGAGTCACCGCCTGCGGTGTCTGCTGCTGCTCCTGCGGCTCCTCCCCCTCACTGATCTCCTGCAAGGGGAGAAAGGGGAGGGTAAGAGAGAGAGGTGATGAGAGATGAGAGAGGGGATGAGAGAGGGAATAAGAGAGAAGGGGAAGAGATGTAGGAGAAACGAGGGATGAGAGTAGGGATGTAAGAATCTTTGCTGCTCCTCACACCGCCAGTACGCATGCCATGGCGAAGTGTAGAGAGGGTGTTTTTGAGACATCTCAAAAGCATGCCATGGCGAATCTCAGCATTGCCATCATCGTGTGGACAACTGATCAGACAGACCGGTGGGATGCACTGCAGTGTGGTGTAGTGTGGTGCAGTGTGGTGCAGCTGTGGGATAGCATTGGTGTCATGTGCCATGTGGCGTGACCCGGAACGACGCGGAGGAAACCAGTGCGGGGAAACTCGTGGTGGTGCAATGTGGTGAAGTGCGGTGCAGTGAAGACACGCGGCATCACAGCATACCACGAGGGTGGCTTCAAACTGGGTGGAGCCCTCTGATAGCCATCCTGCCAGTGTGTCCTGCACCGTGGGCTCTGTGTGGTGCCATGGGGTTGAAGGGGTGATGGGGTGATGAGGTGATGGGGTGATGGGGTTGAGGGAGAGATGAGAGAGGCGAGGTATCACAGCACAGGCCACCAGGCGGACCCCTCTGCCAGCCATCCTGCCAGTGTGTCCTGCACCGTGGGCTCTGAGCAGTGTGATGCCATGGGGGTGAGAGGTGAAGGGGTGAGGGGGGGATGAGAGAGGCAAGGCATGAGCAAGAGACGCGGCATCACAGCATGAGCCACCAGGTGGATCCTTCTGCTAGCCATCCTGCTTGTGTGTCCTGCACCGTGGGCTCTGTGTGGTGTGATGCCATGGGGGTGAGGGGGAGATGAGAGAGGCAAGGCAAGGCAAGGCATGCCATGGGGGTGAGAGGGGGATGAGAGAGGTGAGACAGCACAGCATGAGACGAGACAGCACAGCATGAGACGAGACAGCACAGCATGAGACGAGACAGCACAGCATGAGACGAGACAGCACAGCATGAGACGAGACAGCACAGCATGAGACGAGACAGCACAGCATGAGACGAGACAGCACAGCATGAGACGAGACAGCACAGCATGAGACGAGACAGCACAGCATGAGACGAGACAACACAGCATGAGACGAGACAGCACA